AACAGTTGAAGCTTTCGGTTCCTTAAAGAAAGGTAACACAGCAGTCAGAAAGTATGATGTGCATGACATAAATCAGTTGTCAATGTGAATCAGTTTCCTTTAGATCAATTAGTCCCCCAAACAAAGCCTTTATTCAAAAGAGTACAGGGAGAACAGCCACACGCATTATTTAAGGTGAGGAAATGGAAGACTCCCTGGCTGGACAGCATGTTTTTGTTACCTTGTCTCTTAGGAACCTCATGCCTACCCAAGGAGCTTCCATTTCCCTCTGCCCAAACAAACTTGTAACACGCGCAGTATGCCCTATGTGCTTCCTCAGCAGCACAATCACAAACCCTGCTATCAGTGATGGTAACATATCTGCATACACTGGCAGAACAAGTGCTTTCTTATGTTCTTAGTGAAGGACATCAGTGGAAGGTATTTGATGTGGTGTATTATTATTTCCTCTTAGTCTATGGCAGGGATCTGGGATAAGGGCTTCCTTAGTGGAAGTTACTAATAGAAAATGTAAATGGCAAGTTGTGTTGCAGTCATTTCCTTAGTCTGAAGAATACGCATAGTTAGATTTAGTTCTTGAATAATTTTCTGTCTTCTGTGGAATCAATAGTTGTTTCTAACTTGCTTTTTTTTTAAGAGAGCTGTGTGTGGATGCTGGCAGTGGAGGAGAGGCAAGATGAGATGCAGTAAAGCGAATAAATACGGATAAAACAGGAGTCTGGGAAGGAAGGAGTCTTTTGCTGCTATCTGTGGAAATAATCGGGCCATAACAATTGGGAATAGTGATGGAGAGAACACCTCATCTGAGACATTTCAACATCATTCGTGCAGGGGGACTTTGACAATGGGAGTAAATTTCAGGTAAGAGATGCATCTTATTTTAGGTACTCGTTATAGTTGACTGAAGAAATAGCACAATTAATTGGGGAGAGAATTATTCTCTTTTGTTTGTTTTCTTTTTAAAATAGGTAGGTAGACAGATATATTGGAGCTGTTCAAGTGATAGTCAAGACCATCTTTAATGATAATAGAGATGGTATGCTTCCAGAGAGTACTACTATTAGCAAATGCTGTTGTTGAAGTATCTGTGAAGAATTCCTGACTTTGTCTCTAATTCATAGGGCAGTCTGGGGAAGCAGTGAGGATGTTCCTCAAAAATTGCTTAGCTCCAATATCAGCTCAAAGTCCAGGATGTGGAAAGCTATCATAAGACCTCTTTATTCTTAACCTGTTTCATGTTGTGCTTCTGAGAGGTGCGCATTTTGATTATTGTTCAAAGGCTTCTCTTTATTGATTTTTGTTTGGATTGTAACCTGTTTAGAACAGGTAGTGTGCCTGTAATCTATGCCTGTAAAGTCTTAGATAATATTACAGTTTATACGTGTCTACTAAAAGAGTGCTAGAAGTACTACTTTGTTTCTGCGGAAATTTAAAAAACTGCAAAGAAAAATCACTATTGGTTTAAGGAACTTGCATCCCCTTTTCCATCAGAGACGACTTTTGAATTATCTAAGGTAAAAATTAAGCGTTAGAGTTAGAATATAACTCCTTCTTCTGGGAAGTCCAAAAAAAGGAAAAGATTGATGAAATAAAAAATAAAATATGACATAAATGGCATGAAGGTAGCTAGGCTTGACTGCAAATCTTTTGAGGTAGTAAGATGCCCCCCCCCCCCCCCCCCCGCCTCCACACACACTCTATGTTAAAAAAGAAAAAGAGATTCAAACTTTAAGGAATATTAAAGGTTCATCTTGCTAACCATAATGGCAGGATAATGCTAGACAGAAATATCTTTTATGGGAGAAAGTGGTAAAGGTGTTTGCAACACCTGAATCTGGCTCTCAGTGCTTCCAGTTCTTCTGTGGCTGTAGCAGTCACTCCAAAGTGCCTAGTCTCCTCTCACTGGTATTTCCAAGTGTGTAAAGGGATTTACCATATGGTGTCTGCAGTTCAATCCCCTTCTTACTTGAGAAGTAAGTCACTATTTCTTATCTGCCTCCTTATTATTATCACTGAGTAATGTTTTGTGGCCACTGTGGTCTGGTCAACATAGGAGGAATTTACGGCCTGATAAACTAGGGTGTGAATTGACTACATATTGGCAATTGCACATTGGTGTCTCTTGAAGACATTTTTAGGGTATGTTAAAGGCCTGTCCATTGATTTTTGAAAGAAATTATTAAAATTAGCAGGAAGTGTGACTTTTCCATTATTTGGAAATCAGGGGATATTTAATTTGTCGTATTTCCAAGCTAAGCTAAATTTCTAAACTAACGCTGAGTTGACCTGAATTCTGAGTAAATATTTTCAGTGGTTGTAAGCCATTCAACTGTTCCGCTACATGAGTTAGTTATTAGGGCTTGTCTGCAAAGGATAGCACCTTTATGTCTAATAGCTACCCTGTCTTGAAACGTCAGCTGAAGGGCTTGCCTGTGATGAAATGTTGTGGCGGAGTAAGGTAGGATCATAATTTCATAGTACAAGGAGCTGCTTGCATTAACTCCCTGCAGGGAGTACTTGGAGTACGCTGTAAAGTTTCTGCAATTTGAAAATGGAATAAACTTTTAGCATGGAGTCACTTGCTGCACTGTAAATTCCTCACCTAGCTTTCAGACAATCTTCTGCATGGCAATCATATGTCCAGGTTTCACTGGACTTATCTTCTGTTTTCTCCTGGAAGCTTTGTATAGATTGATTTTAAGGACATTTTAAGATCGGGGGTGTCCAAGCATCTGTTAGATCTAAAAGGCTGGAAACCTCCAAAAGCCTGGAAATCCTGTGCGATCAGAGTGCATGAGCTATGGGG